GGAATGCTTCCATTAGGAAAAAACCCATGCAACTGGAGAGCCTCCAGGCACGAAACAACAGGCCAGGAGCTGCAGAAGGGCAAGGGAAAATGAAAACTGCCTCCATCCTCTATATAAGCAAAGTCCAAAACATCCCACAAGGTTCCAGGTTTAGTACCTTAATGCACCAATCTGTAGGATATGGGGTCATATTCAGAAAGTAGCCTGATCTTCATGAGTATTTGCCAAATGAACCACCCATAATTGCATAAAATAGCAATGTTTAAGAAAGAACTTTATATGGGGTCCATACATGTAAAGCACAAAATATTTCTGAGAAGAGTTACAGAACAAAAATAAGTCCATAACTAGAGTAGAGTTGTAGCTAAAATCCATCCCAATTGTTGAGCTGTGAAAAGTTTCTCCGTTTCTTAAATGAAATGTTTTAGCAAATGTTTGAAGAGATTTGAGAGTGCTGACAAATGGTTACTTTAATAGTCCATTTCATCATCATATTCAATTCTACTAAACAACAGAACTTCTTCATTGTTCTGTCTGTGGGTATATTTTCCAACTTTTAGTTTTTGTTACTTGTTTTACAGTTGTGGAGATATTGGAGTGAACCTGTGTGTGTGTGTGTGTGTGTGTGTGTGTGTGTGTGTGTGTGTGTGTGTGTAACCTGTCTCTGGAATGTGCGGATTGTACATCGGGCACAACTTTAAGAAATTCTTCTATTTCTCCTGAATTCACTTCCAGCTGTATAGCTCTCCAAGTGTATAAATACTGGCTTCTGCTCTCCTTGTAAATCTGAAAACTGTCTTTTCAGCTTCAGGTCATTTGATTGGTATCAGATAGGATTCCACTGTGATTTTATTTTATACATCATGTGTTTATGGACTTTTTTCTATGAAGTGCTTTCAATTTGTTTAGTGTTTTTAATTTGTTTAGTCCTTATTGGCTAGCTCTGTCTCAGCTATTAACTCATTTCTACCAATCTAAGTGTTTCTACGTGTTTTTTTAAATATAAATTTTATTAAAATTAGAAACAAGCTTGTTTTACATCTCAATCCCAGTTCCGGCACCCTCTTGTCCTCTCTTGTTCCCTCCACCAATCCCCATCCCATCCCTTTTCTGCTCCCCAGGAAGGGTGAGGGCTTCCATAGGGAGTCTTCAAAGTTTGTCATATCATTTGGATGTGAGAAAAGAGGTCCCGACCCTTTCTCTGATAAAATAAGACCATGTGAAAACAATTAGATTGATCAAAATGAGTTAATAGCTAAGACAGAGCTAGCCAATAAAAAGCTTTAGCCATTGGCCAACAACTTTATAACAACAACAAAAAAATTGTTTAGTCCACTTTTCTGCTGGGTTATCTGAGTTTGTCTTGATTTTTTTAAAAAAGTGTTCTATATAAATTCTTACTAAAGTTTCCATTGGCTGTGTGTTTTGAATACTTTGCCAGATTTGTGGTCTACTTTTAAAAAAACTCATTAGATCTTTTCATAAGTAAACTTAAATTTAAAATCATTTAGCAGTAATTTCCTTTATACTTTAGCAATTTATATGTCTCTGTATGCAATTTATATGTCTCTGACATTCAATTATATTCTTCTCTGTAATATTTGCAATTTGTATTATTTATAATTTGACCCTTTCTGAGGTTTTTAACCTTATCTGTATGTTTTTCTTTTATATAACATATATATATATATATATATATATATATATGTTCTTGAGACTTCCAAAGATTTTGAGATATTACTCCACTTGCAAGCTTCTAAGCTGACCTTCCATCATTTCACAGGAAACGGCAGATAAAACAAGATTCTTGGACCAGATACAGGTTCCTTGCTACTTACAACAGCACTACCAGCCAGAAGCTAGAATAGCAACATTCAGAACAAATTCTTGGTTTGACTTCCCACAGAGTGACACAAGGCAGGTTGGATAGTTAGCACACACACACACACACACACACACACACACACACACACACACGTTCACACACACACACACACACACACACGTTCACACACACACACACACACACACACACACACGTTAGACTGTGTATTGCAGAGAACATTAAGCTTTGGACTCTCAAATCCTTTATGATGGAGAGGAATCATGTCTAACACATATCCAAGGCGATCTCCTGTTTTTATTATACTATTGACTGGTAGAATCTACTATTTGACCTAAGAGGGAGATGCTGTATATATCATCCAAGCATATCTGCTATATAAACTCCCTTGAGACTGGAACAAAAGCAGCCAGGATTTCTGTTTGCAAGACAAACACAAATGCAAGAGTCCCATATAGAACCGTCTTCCAATAGGGGTTGACTTTTCTTCCCACATGAATGGCCAATTGTCTCATTCATGATCCCATGCACAGTTTCTCATCTTCCCAGATGTCTACAATGTAGACCTTAACATAATCTGGTTTCCATGCATGGGTCCACCTCCTCCTAGGCTCTTTATTCTATTAGTTGATACTCAACTCCTATAAAAATTTTACTTTCATCTCCACTATAATACTTCTCTCTCTTACATCCAAACAAGTGTCCAGGCTGTTCTCTATTTGTGATTTACTTTTTCCCCTCTTCTACTCTTCCTTATACGGAAGCTCAATGTATGCTAAAGTCTAACACTAAACATGATTCTGGCCACTCAGACCTCACTCAGGATTACTCTACTTCCTCATGAAGTCAGTTTAAAATCTCCTCTCACAAGACTTTTCCAGTTATCTCCTATGTCACTTCCTATCCAGGTAGATGGAAGCTTGTTCATTGTACTCTGCATATTCTCTTTAAAATCTGAAGTTCTAGTCTCCAGAAACAAGGTGATGGTGAGAGCCATGCAGCAGCTTCAGCTCCTGGCTTCTGTGTGTTCTGTTTCTCAGAACGTTTCTTGTCCCCTTTGAAAAGCTTAGCTATGTATCTTAGAACATTTGGTTTATTTATTTTTTTACTTTTATGATTTTTTCATTAATTTATTTTTTACATACCAATCCCAGTTCCCCTCCCTTCTTCCCTCCCACTCCCTCCACTTCCCCCTCCTCCCATCTGCTCCATGGAGAGGGTGAGGACTCCCCTAGGAAGTCTACTATGCTAAGTCTGTCCCATGATCTCATTGAAGCAGGACCAAGGCATCTCTCCACCCCCACACTCCACCCCTGCATCTAGGCTGAGTAAGGAGATTTCCATATAGAATGGGCTCCACTAAATCAGTTTGTGCATTAGAGTTAGCATTTTAGAATATTTTATGTTTCTCATCTAACTCTATTTTAGGAGTTTTGATTTCAGGGTGGTCTCCAGGATACCTAATCAATCATATGTCAGAAATAGAAGTCTTATATCCATGCTTGGTTTTAAATCCTTTGATTTCACGGAATGCTGTCTTGCATGCAATGATATTCAAAAATATGTTTAATTAAGTGAGTGAAGCTGCAGGATTCTTCTGATGCCGTATCATTACCAAGGAATTCAGCTCTTCAGATGCCATTGCCTTAACAGTCCCCTCCTCTTATAGCCTTGCAGAATTGTTAAATATTTCAAACCTACAGAAAACAGCATAATTAAATCTTTTTAATTCCCACCGAGATCAAACATATTAATAGAGTATCTACTTTTCTATGTTCTGTAGTTACATTACGTAAAATAATGAGTAATGTTATTTTTGTATATTTCAAATCTTTGATAAGTGAACTTCAAGCTTGCTTCCCTCCAAAAAACATCATGCTTGAAGATTTTATCTGTATTTATTCACTAAATCTAAAACTAATGATTCCACATCTTTAATAGAATTATATTCCATATCTTAGTTTACTTCTTAGTATTCTGCCAGTTTCTCACCACTGAGATTACACACCCAAGAATAATAATGGAGCATGATGAATAAAAGACCCAGAGACAGATATTGGGATTCAAGCTTCAAGCTGAAGATCAGAGAAGCAAAGCAGCCAACCCAGTAGATTGTGCCTCTACCCAGCTGAAATGGCAATCCTGTCTCCACAAATCCTCAGAGACAAAAGGCTCTGAATTCCGGTCTCCTCCTTCTTTTATTCCTCTCTCCACCCAGTCATATCACCCATGTCTCCACCTCCCTAGAGCTGGAGTTAAAGGTGTGTGATCCCAGGTGATGAGATCACCTTTGTGAGAGCTATTTCTCTTTTAGATTGGATCATGCAGTCAGTGTGGTCTTGAACTAACAGAGATCTGTCTACCTCTTAATCCTGAGTCCTTGGATTAAAGGTGTGTACCACCACTTCCTGGCTTCTATAGCAAACTAGTGTGGCTACTTTGCTATTTGATCTCCAGTGGCTTCAATAAATCATAAACAATATATCTCCATATAAAAACTTAAAGGAGATTATTTCAGCTCACAGTTTGAGAAGTGAACATCATGGCAGGGGACATGTGGTGAACAGGAAGTCAGAGAAAGGGAGTAAGCAAAGGAGGGGAACAAGACATAGCCTTGAAAAGCACACCTTAGGGGCTCCCCTACTCTCCAGCCCCAACCCCATGAGTTTCTACCCTTTAGTAATCCATTCAGCTGTGGATCCATCAGTGGACTTAGGCATCATTTGTTAGGTTTATACTTTCATGATCCTGCTACCTGAATACCTCTGTGTTAGAGATCAAGACTCCAGCAAACGAGCTTCCAAACACATGCTTTTGAGTGTATGTTTGATTTTTTTCAACTAGATACCCAGCATTGAAAGTTTTATATAAACTTTATATAAATGTAGTATTTAGTCTTAATTTGTTAGGAATATCTAATTACTATATCTAACATATAGGACTATGATGACATTGATCATTATAAAACATAAAACATTTTACCATATTACACTACATAATACCTATAATTTGTGTAAAGTACCTGGTTGAGATTTGTCTTTCATATGTGCTGTTCATGATCTCTTGTCTATAACTCAGATGATTACAAAATCTATGCTATCAAATAATTAAAAGTTAGTGACTTGGAAACTTATCACCCATTTTTTGTTTCCTGTAGGTATTTATGAGCCTCCATTTCTTATACTACTGCAGTGAACCAACCTTGGATGTGAAAATCGCCTTTTGTCAGGTGTGTGTTCCTCACAGGTAAAACAAGGTACAGTACACGTCCTCGTACTTCACTTTTGCTGTTCTGTTTTCTTATGTACCACACCAAGGCTGTTCCTTATGTGACACTAAAAGTGCTTGCGAAGTACAATGAACACTTAGATTTCTGCCTTTTTCAGTTTATTTAGTTGACATTAGAAATGAAACTTTCTGAATGGGTTTATAACTAATCGGTAAAGTGTTTCTAATCAGATTTCAGTTTTATTTAGATTTTTTCAATGTTCCTGTTGAAATCCTTGGAATGTAGCATTGATAAAGCCCCAGGAACCTGATTGCTCTTCATTTTTCTAAAGAGCTGAGGAGTCCCAAATGCTGCATCCCTAATGACTACCTGTTGTCACCTGCCAGTGATATGCAGTTTGTTTTTACAGTAGTTAGAAAACAAAACAATGCAACAATAGCACGTTGTCAGTAGCCCACAAAGGAAGAGCATGAAGGTAGCCACAACATCTGACATTTGTGTGAAGCCAGTAAATCTACACCCATGATTCCATACAAATACCATCACTAAGAAAATAGTTGTTTAAGACCCGTCCTCATAGGTGGTGTGTACAGAACTGTCCTAGTCTAAAGCAGCTATCAGGTATCATTGTCACCTTCCCCTTTACTCTTAAGTTTGATGAAGGACTGTAGAGGAATTGGATTCTAACTGTATTCACCATCTCTGTGTGCTGCTTGCTGCTTCTCACTGAGCTGAACTATGAAAGAAGTGGTATGTACCCAATGAAAGCAGGGTTAAGGGGGGAACTCTATCTCATCTATTATTACATATAACACTCTTTACTACAAGGGAACAGTGTTTTTTGCCTTCCTTAGTTTCTGTGGCACCCACTCTCCCTGAACATGAGTAGGATTCCTCCGGCAAAGGGAAGTGTGTGACCCACAGTCTTAAGACTTACTGTTCGGCCTCACCTTGTTTCTGTCCAAAAGTCATAGGGCTTGAGGGCCAAGCCTGTAGATGGGATCTCTTCTCTAACAAGAGCCATTTAGTAGTTGCTCATTTGCCAGTGTGAGTGAATTCCTCAACGTTTATGTGCCTCAGTTTCCTGATTTGTAAAATGAGAAAATAAATATCATCCACCTCCGAGAGTTGTTACTGGAATTCAGGGAACTTGTACTAGCAAAGTGTTGAAAACACTGCTGGAATGTGTTCATGAGAACCACCAAGTTTCTACTGCCCCTCCAGGTGCTCCCATCCTTGAATTCTCAATGTGAGTGTGACATTGCAGATTCACATAGTTGTGTTTCTGAGCCAGACCTCCCATTACAACCAGATTCATGCACACAACTGCTTGGTTCTGCATCTCCAATTAGATGTCAAGAAAGCATGCCAAACTTTATTAGTAGGGTGCTGGTGCACACCTGTAACCCCCAGCACTAGGGAGGCTGAGGCAGGGGAACCATGAGTTCAAGGTCAGTCTGCTCAGAGACAACAAAACACGTAATCTTCTTTACATATTTCTCTTTCTATTGTCTCTGTAACAATTCAGGAAGTTCTGGCTCTGTCCAATTAGAACAGAATGGTGGAGTCATTATGAGCCACCACATCCAAACTGTCAGCGCACTCTGCCAAATTTAACTCTGCGTGTGTCTGTACTGTCACTCTCTCTTACCATCTCTCTGCTACCCCTTTGATCCAAGCCACCCTCTCTTGTCTGAATTATTGTAAGAGCACCTGCCTTTGCCCAGCTCTAGATGACCTATTCTCACACACCTGTGAGAGTGGCCTTCGAGTAATGTTACTAGAAACAAGACAAAACACACCCAAAGTCTTTGAATCTCATGGGACATAGCCCCAAACACTCATTCTAAAGACTTTATTATCTAGCACCCTAAATAACTGCTCCCCTGGAATTCTCCACTGCCCATGCAGTTTCTTAACTTTCCTTCCCCCTCCCCCACACATACCTTAAGATGGTATGATGAGTGGCTTCTTTCTTTCCAACAGAAAAGGCTTTTTTTTTTTTTTTTTTTTTTTTTTTTTGGCTTGGCCAGAAACATTTTCCAGAGTCTTGCTGGAACCAGTCCACACAAGCTTACCCAGATAACTGCGCATGTCTCTTCTAACTCTGTACTTGGTGATGTCAGTTTAGTAGCCCAAGATGTCTTGATGTGAGTTTTATGTAAGAATGAGCCATTACAATGGGTCTCTTCCCTTCTTCTCTCCATTGGTTCCATTGCTTTTGAGCATCCCTGGGATTTTGTCTGTTGTTCACTGGTGGACTGAAGCATTCACATGGACTCCTACAAACTTGTGCATTATGAGAGAGCGAATTATCAGTGTTCTGATTGTCTATTCAGTTGCAGCCATGATCATCCTTGGGTGGAAAATGAACAAGCCTGAGTCTCCAGGTGTCTTGCTTAAGACTGTGGCCCCTAGGAGACCAGTGTGCATTGTCCACAGTGTTTTTAGCCAGCTAGACATCAGCAGAGGGCTGCTCCCGTACATAAAGCATTTATTGACTCTAAGTGTAGAAATGTAATTTGGCAATATTACACATCTCTCCTTTATTCCTTTAGCTCTGCTCCCTCCTTTACTTCTCTAGCAATGTGATGAAACAAATGTCTTTATTTTTAGAGGCAGAATTATCGGGTGAGTTTACCTCCAAACTGTCTCTTCGGAACTTGTTTCCCAGGGAGTCTCCCAGGCTGTTTTTATTCTGGAGTGCTTATTCTGGCCACCAGCTGCATGTGGTCACATCTTAATTTCTGCTCCTATTGTCTACTCAACCATCTTAGATAACTTTAATGAGTAATCAAATGTGTCTACCACCTATGCCTCTTGACTCCAGCCTGTAGATTATCATCACTGTTTAGTTTCAGGCTTTGAAATGTCCATAAGAAACCATTGAAAACAAACTTTCCAGATGCCAACTCTCAACAAAATATGTGTGTGTTTATCATTGTTTTAACTAAAAAATGTATTGAATGACTTCAGTAATATTTGTTGACTTTCCAAGAATACCCTTTTTAAAATAAATGTTGTTTATTATGAATAATAGACTACTATTGACTATTTTATTACTTGTCTAAGGCATCGCCACCAGGAGAGCTGTTATATTTGTTGAGAAATTTTTCTTTGTGACGGTAGACATGGAATAAATAACTCCTATTTTCATAATATAAATGATAAGATACACCTGGGGAATGTGAACACTCAGTTTCTTGACCCATCCTGAAAAACAGGACAACTGCTTTAGCACTGGTCTCAGTTGAGTGGACAAGCAGAGCTATTGAGATTCACTTGTGAATAAAAGAAATCACACATGTGCTGCGTTTGGAGCTCTTTTCTTCACATTATTAGAGAAGTAAAGGAGAGGGCAGAACTATAGGAATAAAGGAGAGATGTGTAATGTTATCAAATTACGTTTCCACAATAGGAGTCAATAAATGCTTTATGTACATGGGCAGTCTCCTGCTGGTGTCTGACTCTCTGGAAGTGCGGTGGACAATGCATGCTGGTATCCTGTGGGCATAGTCTAAGAAAGACACCCAGAGTCCATAAGGAAGTTTGTGCCTCATTCATTGCTCCTTTGAACTAATATGAGAGTTACTAGAAGCCAAATTAACACAAAATAAAAAAAATTATTGATTGTCATGAGAAGAAATGGCCTTTTCATAAATATTTAAAATATGCATGCAGCAGGACTAGAGACCAATGGCAACATGATTCATGCAGTGGGTGAATTAGGACTTATAGCATTAGGAGCTGGAACCTTCAATCACAATTGCTGGCATCTGCAGCACTTGCCATCTCCTGGGGGTGTTAGCTTCAGGTGTACAGGGCTATCCTTGTCCCATACAGGGGTCCTACAGTGAGGACAAGCCCAAGACATCTCAACCTTTATTCTCAAAGCTCAATTTATTTTAATGCAGCAAATGTTCAATGCATAATTTTGAGCTCTTCAGAGTAGAAAGACAGCAGAGAAACACTGTCTTGTCTTGTCAGTAGAAATTTGATTGCTTGTCTGTGAAACCTAATTTCTCCACATCCTTATCTCTTGGAGGAGTGTGCTTCTAGCCTTGATCATGTTTTGGCTACTTTACTAATCACAATCATTAATCTAACATTTATCTAATAGTTATTAACCCTCTGAAGGTAAACTGATATTAAATTGCTTATGAATAATCTTAAAGGATTTCCTGATTTGGAGAGAGCTTGAGTCTCTGGAGTTAAAATTAGTTAACTGGGCTTTGCAGGGATGGTGAGGGCAGTATAGTGACTAGTCACAAGTATAGGGACATGAGTTTAGTCCCAAGAACCCACATCATAAGACAGGCATGGTGGCCTGTGCTAACCCACAAAGCCAGGCATGGTGGCCTGGGCTTGGAGTCTGATCTGTAGCAGGACGACAGGAGGAGATAGGTGGATCCTGAAAAACCACCAATCACCAGTCCAGCTGACTTAGGGAGGTCCCAGGCCAGGGCGTGACTCAGCCTCTAAGCCCTGAACACCACCACCACCCTGGGGTGTCCTCTGACCCCCACATGTGCACTCATGCCCATGCACAGTGCACCCCATATACATACCCACTCTATATACAAATTAATCTACAGGTCGTTTGTTTAAGCGGACTTAGAAACTAAGGAACTGGTCTAAGAAATTAAGGAAGCCGAGTTTGTCTCCCTTTTGGTTGAACCGCAGAGTTTATGTTATACTTTATGTCAAGGAGATGTTCATGAATTTGCTGATTGCCAATTAAGATCCGTTTCATCCTTTATTCAATGCACCTTATAGATATTTTAATTAACTTGGTTTACTCATTCTGCCTCATGTGCACGCAGCATCATTTCATAGTCCATAAATATAAACAATTGTAATCTATTAAGGTCCAATATAAAGTGAAATGAGAAAAAAATGACTATGATTTTCTTCTTCATTTTCTCTGTACAACTCCAGTTATTTTCAGAAGTTGGAGTCAAACTATTTTGCATTTTGGAGCTTGAAGGCATAATAATTAT